TACCGCCAACATCACCTCTAACAGGCACCTGAACTCGTTCTCAACTCCCTTTACCAGCCTTCAACCCTTCTTCATTTCCAACAGCCACCCTCAGCCTCTCCTTACTTTCGGACCAAAGGGAGAGTTGATAGAGACAACCGCCACCCCAAAGTTTGAAAAAACTTCTTAAATATAGTAGTATTAGTTATGAATATTTATAAATTATATAGGCTCATTTTTCCAAGATTTTTTTGAAAAATTTAATACTCGCCCCTTCAAAATTTCTTGAACTTGGCCAACATTTTAAAGTTTCTCTTTACTCTTAGCTCCAAATATATTTCCCTTTATTTACCTCTTATTCTTCTTTGTTTCCATTCTCTCTCTCTCTCTCTCTCTCTCTCAATTTGTTTTTTTTTTTTTGTTTTTTTTGTTTTTTTATAGGTTAGGTATACATTTGCCTCCCTAAGCTAATAATGCTACTTTTGTTCCTGGGCAACAAAGATGGAAGGGGACAGGGAGATGCTGGGAGTAGTGATTGTAACGCCCTGAAGAAATAACACAATAAGTACTCATTAACTTGCAATTACATTAACTTGTTTCCAAATCAACCCTTCCAATGCTTTATATATATATATATATATAAAGAATATAAAACCCCCAACATAGACATCATCATCAATCTCTAACATGTATATCCTTTAAACTCCAGAGATTTACAAAAAATATCTCACATTCGGTTATACATTCAACATTCCTAGAATATGAATTTATAGCATGTGGCACAATCAATGCCCTCGAGGGCTACAATTTTCAAGGCTTAAGCCCGGTTACACAAAAGTGATTTTTGAACCCATACATATAAAGCCCTTGGTTTGACAAAAATAATCACTACAAAAGAAAAGAGTCTTGTGCTCTCAAAATATATTCCATGCCTCTAACTCAGCGGGATCACCACATCATTTCCTGCACAAAATCCCATAGGGTGAGTGCAAAACCCTATAGGAAAATCTTAACAAAGTATATACATTTTATACAATCTCCAATGATGAATGCATATGCCATACTATGTTAAAAAACATATATCTTTATCTTTTGAAACTTTTTTGGCACAATGCAATTTGAGAATTTGACAATTTCAATAATTTCAATGTAGTTCGAAGGGGTGGTAAATACGACTTAGGTAATCCCTAGGTTGGTGTCTGCAAGTAGGCATAACAAGCACTATCAATCCCCACTTTATTGGTTGCTAACCAGAAGGCACGTGGTACCTCCTCCGTATGTGTTTTCGGTCTTTCACCATGGACACTCAGGCCAACTTAACCAATACCAATTATACCCCGTATCCAGACTTACCAATGTATTTACCGCAAAACAAATCCAAATGATTTTGTTTCACAAACAATACTTTTCCAATACAAGATTCCAAAATCAATTGCAACCACTATAAAATGGAATAGCGATGCAAAATGTACAATGCATTAATATAGTCTATTTTCAATTTCACCACACAATTCTCTATTGTGATCAAATTTCCACATCTCTTGTCATTGTAACATCATAATACACTTACAAGAGATAAAATAATACAACATCAACCTTCATGCATTTTCTATATATTAATCATCATTTTTAGCATTTGGTCTTTCCAAAACAACAACAATAAGCTCCTCAAGCTTCCCAAATCAACAATTTCTCATTTTCTCATGAAATTTCTTCATTTGATACAACAATAGAAATTTCCTCCATCATTTACTCACATAACAAATTTCCAAGCATCAATTTCACAATATCTCAAGTTTTTTTTTCAAAATTCTTAAATTCTAGAGTTTCCACCAAAACAAGGTTTTTGTTCCATTTTTGAAAAGATTTTTCCAAAACAACACTCACACCTTAGAACATAGCTCATATTCTCAAAGGTTTTGGGAAAAATAGGTAAAATCATCTTCTAACATCATCTGAGGTTCATCAACCTAAACCATAACTCAAACATGTAAGAAATACTTCAAACAACCATAATCTTGCAAAAACATAAGCTTGGGAGATGAAATGAAAGAAAATCCTAGAACTCAAAATTGGTGAAAACTCGATCCAATCGGCTATAAACATAGCCCTTGTCGCCCTCTTCAATTTGGATTTGGGTGTGTTTGTAGAGGAGAAGGGAGAGAAAAGTTGGATATAGAGAGAGAGGTGAAAAAGTGCCCAAAACACATTTTTGGGCATCAATTTTGAGAAAAAGTACACAAAACATATTTTGGGCATCAGTTTTAAGAAAAAAAAGTGCATAAAATTTGAGACAGATGCATCGAAATCTGCACGAGTGGTTTAAATTTCGTATGAGCGGAATTCCAATCCGCACGAGTAGATTTTTTTGCCTCCACGGGCAGATTGCTCCAGAGAAGCTTAGAAATTTTTCACCAAAATCCGCTTAAACGGGACCCAAATCCGCTTGAGCAGTTTTCTGCCCAGAAAACTCAGAAAACCCAGAAAACCCTATATTGATCCGCTTGAGCGGTTGCCAATTTCACACGAGCGGTTTTGCCCATAAACCTAGAGTTTGATTTTGCAATCCAAAACAATTTTCAATGCCTAAAACTCAAAATCTTTAACCTGAAAAAGTTACGAGAGGTTAAGTAAGAGTAGAAAAGAAATCTCAACGACTCAATATGATAAACAAAATACCGAAAGTAACGCACACAAACTTACTACATAATACTATTCAAGTCCAAGACTCGGGAAATCATAATGGTAGATGGAGGAAAAATTGAAATTAATTTAGGTGTCAACAAATAAAATAAAATTCAATTTTAAAGATGGAATGGTCAAAGAAATAAGATGTCTGATAATATTTTTTGAGGGCAAGCTATCCATTTTTTAAAGATAACCCACTTCATACATGGTCCACAAGGACCCGACAATCTCCTTGTAACGCCTTGCAATTATAACGACAACCTATACTATAATATCCAATAGAAAACATAAACATGCGAAATATTAACCTTTTATTTATATTCCTTTACTGTACAAAAGATGACATATGCAAGTATATATTCATAAATCCTAGATCCAGAATCTATAGCATATGCCAAATGTGAGTGAATTGAAATAAAAGGTAATACAAATAAGCATATGCTCGAATAACTACATCTTTCCAAGACATTGCTTGGTTACAACAAAATGGATCAAGTCCACAACAATTAAAAGCCGGAGGCTTGTACAAAAGGTAATTACAACAAAGAAACAAAAGTGAGCCTTCAGCTCCACGATCCTCCTAAGCAAAATCCTTGGTGGAGACATATCATCAGCACCTGAAAGTTGTTTTCCACAAGGGTGAGCTAAAGCCTAGTAGAGATACTTTAACACTATGTATGAAACTTAATGAAGTTATAAGGTGAATGCATATCCATGTCATTTGTCAAACATTATACTTTTTCATCTCAAAACAATGCAATGCCATCATTATTATATTTCAATTCATGAAAATACACTTTTATATAAGAAAACAGGGTAGTGAATAGAAAGTGCTAGGAATCTCTAAGTACGTGTCTGCTAGTAGGCTATATAAGCACTACCAAAGCCATTTTACCGATACTAGCTTGTAGTTTTAGGAGTTGGAAAAAGTGGAGAGGGAAAGACTTTAGGTGCGCATTGCCCCGCCGTTATTAGAGTCAGCAAATATGGGAATATTTTCTGTATATAAGTCTATACATGTATGTATGGTTTTGTAGCTCTTGCTTGGGACATCATAGTGGATTTACCACCCTATGGTTTTTGAATGGAAATCATGCAGTGAACATTTTTCATTTTAAAAGAGGAAATATAGATTTTATCCTAACATATTTATGAAGGTAGTTTCTCGGGGCATTACAATTTTAGGTAAAATTCAAATGAACATGATTTATGAAGGCAGTTTCTCGGGGCATTGCAATTTGGTATCAGAGCTAAATGTGTTTGAATACCTGAAGCTTATGGGATGTGGCTTATGCCACAATAGGTTATCATGTTGGGATAGGACGATAGTACTTTATATGTTTATGTGCTTGTGTGACTATGTGGGTATGGGGTCAAGTTTCTAAGATATGATTTGCGTCCATTACACTTATTGAAGTCCCTTTGGAAAGACACTTGATCAATGCTTTTTCCACTTGGAAGTCCTTGAGTGTCGTGGAACGAGTCGGTATATTAGGAGGATGACTCGTATGTGCTTTACGTGCTAATGTGCTTATGTGGATTATTTTATGTTTAATGAATGTATGGATAGGGTCGTGATTATTCACGTACGACGCGTGGCTTAACGTGTGGGTTCATGGATCGTGAGTTAATTCCATTCTCTCTTGCTCTTATATAGGATATCTGGACGTGGCAGGGGTCATGGTAGACCTCGCTGGAGTGGTCTGGGTATTCTGGCCTAACAAGATCTTCCTCCCCAAAAAGAAGAGGTGGGACAAAACAATGTGGTCACTCCTCCGGCCCAAGATGCGATAGGGGCACTAGCTTGAAAAATGGTCGGGGCTCTTTGAGAGTCCATGGACATACTTCGAGCCAAGCAAGCGGCAAGGACAATAGAGAGAGAAACTCGACCATCCTTCTTGAATAAAGAATTCTGTCACTCCAACCCTACCAAGTTTAATGGCGGGCCCGATCCTATAAAAGCTGATGAATGGTTATGGAAAATCCTTAAGTCCTTTGAGATCTTGGACATCCATCAGGGAGAGGTCCGATTAGCGTTGGCGGCTTACCAACTAAAAGGAGAGGTCGGTTAGTGGTGGAAATCTGTTAAGCTTAGGGTCAAGCACACTTGGAAGGCATTCACTCACGCCTTCTAGGAGAAGTTCTTGCATCTCATGGCTAGAGAGAGGTTGAGGAAATAGTTCAAGGAGCTTAGACAGCTAGATACACTGGCGGCAGATTTTGAAGCCACTTTCACTAGTTTGGTATGCTTTGCACCTGAACTCGTAGCTACCAAGGAGTGTCGATGGTTAAAGTTTGAGAAGAGATTGAGGCCTAAGATCTTGATGAAAGAGATGGGCAATATGTTCAGAGAGTATGATAGGTTGGTTGAGGTCGCGACTCATGTAGATATCATGTTAGAAGTTGAGGAATCTAGGCTGAAACATAAGAGGTCGAGTCATGTAGAATCTCAGGGTGACATGGGATCCTCTAAGAAGTCCAGGGGCTCTTTTTCTTCATCTTTCCAGTCTTGTTCCCAAGAGACCAAGTGTTTGGGATCTTTTTCTATGAAGAGTTTAGAGAATACGGGTCCTAGTTGTATTACTTGTTTCAGGTGTGGCCAACAGGGACACAAGGCATCAGACTGTAAGCAAAATCTCAACCATCAGTAGTCAGCTCATTCTCCGAGCCAACCCCAGGGGAGGGGCCAGTTTCCTGCATGTTATCATTGTTGACATTCGGTGCATATGAAGAGGTCTTGCCCACAGTTAGCTGCGACAGAAAGTGTTTCAGGGTCCCGACAGTCTAGCGGTTATCAAGCAGGCCAGGGTCAAAGATAGAATTATCAGCCGGTTCAACCTAGGCAAGCATCTAATGTGGTGCAAGGGGCCACATATGCACAATTAGTGCAACCGACTTACATTTCAAGGGGTGATCAAAGTGAGCAGAGGCCACAAGGATGAGTTTATGCTGTCACTGCTTCTGAGCAATCTTCTGGACCATCAGTGATGAGAGGTATATATCTCATCTATAATACTTAGGCCAATGTATTAATAGATACCAGAGCATCGCATTCATTCATAGCATCTGTATTTGCATCCATATTGGGCTTAAAGATTGAACGACTAGAGTCTTCATTTATAGTAGAGTCAACACTTGGAGGTCATGTTGTCTTGAATTGGGATATCATGGGTGCGTGATTGAAGTTGCTGATCGCCGACTTCCTTTCAATCTTGTGTTATTAGATATGTCGGGTTTTGACGGCATCTTTGATATGGACTGGTTGTCTTCTTATCGTGCCATCATAGATTGCTACCGTGGAAGAGTTATTGTGTGCATAGCGGGTTAGGACTGTTTTTATTTTCTGGGAGATAGGACCCATGGTGGGTTGTTGCCGTTGTATGCCCCGTGAAGTCGAGGTAAACTTAGTTTTCTTCTTGCAACCATTGTGGATTATGAAAATACTGTGGTTCAGGGGGGGTATTTTCTAGATTGGTTTGTGAGTATTCAGATGTTTTTCCTAAGGATCTCACTGAATTGCCACCTCACCACGAGGTTGAGTTTTCTATAGATTTAGTACCTGGCATGGCACCCATCTTCATGTCACCCTATAGATGTGCACCGGTAGAGTTGAGTAGTCTTGGAATTTATTTTATTATTATGGATTTACTTCTCTCTCTCTCTCTCTCTCTCTCATATTTCTATATTGGGTAAAGCCCAAGTGAACATCATTTATGAAGCATTTTCCTGGGGCGTTACGATTTGGTATCAGAGCTAACTGGGTTTGAATACTTAGAGCTTGTGGGATGTGGCTTTTACCAAAATGAGTTATCATGTTAGGATAGGACGATAGTACTTTATATGTTTATGTGCTTGTGTGACTATGTGGGTATGGGGTCAAGCTTCTAAGATATGATTTGCGTCCATTACACTTATTGAAGTCCCTTTAGAAAGGCACTTGATCAATGCTTTTTCCACTTGGAAGTCCTTGAGTGTCGTGGAACGAGTCGGTATCTTAGGAGGATGACTTGTATGTGCTCTACGTGTTAATGTGCTTATGTGGATTGTTTTATGTTTAATGAATGTATGGATAGGGTCGTGATTATTCATGTACGACGCGTAGGTTGACGTGTGGGTGCATGGGTTGTGAGTTAATTCCATTCTCTCTTGCTCTTATATAGGATGTCTGGACGTGGCAGAGGTCATGGTAGACCTTGCTGGGGTGGTCTGGGTATTCTGGCCTAACAAGATCTTCCTCTCCAAAAAGAAGGGGTGGGACAAAACAATGTGGTCATTCCTCCGGCCCAAGATGCGATAGGGGCACTAGCCTGAAAAATGGTCGGGGCTCTTCGAGAGTCCATGGACATACTCCGAGCCAAGCAAGCGGGAAGGACAATAGAGGGAGAAACTTGAACATCCTTCTTGAATAAAGAATTCTGTCACTCCAACCCTACCAAGTTTAGTGGCGGGCCCGATCCTATAAAAGCTAATGAATAGTTATAGCAAATCTTTAAGTCCTTTGAGATCTTGGACATCTATCAGGGAGGGGTCCGAGTAGCGTTGGCAGCTTACCAACTAAAAGGAGAGGTCGGTTAGTGGTGGAAATCTATTAAGCTTAGGGTCGAGCACACTTGGAAGGCATTCACTCACGCCTTCTATGAGAAGTTCTTGCATCTCACAGCTAGAGAGAGGTTAAGGAAACAGTTTAAAGAGCTTAGACAGCTAGATACACTGGTGGCAGATTTTAAAGCCACTTTCACTAGTTTGGTATGCTTTGCACCTGAACTCGTAGCTACCAAGGAGTGTCGATGGTTGGAGTTTGAGAAGAGATTGAGGCCTAAGATCTTGATGAAGGAGATGGGCAATATGTTTAGAGAGTATGATAGGCTGGTTGAGGTCGCGACTCATGTAGATATCATGTTAGAAGTTGAGGAATCTAGGCTGAAACATAAGAGGTCGAGTCATGCGGAATCTCAGGGTGACATGGGATCCTCTAAGAAGTCCAGGGGCTCTTTTTCTTCATCTTTCCAGTCTTGTTCCCAAGAAACCAAGTGTTTGGGATCTTTTTCTATGAAGAGTTCAGAGAATATGGGTCCTAGCCGTATTACTTGTTTCAGGTGTGGCCAACAGGGACACAAGGCATCAGAGTGTAAGCAAAATCTCAACTATCAGTAGTCAACTCATTCTCAGAGCCAACCCCAGGGGAAGGGCCAGTTGCCTGCATGTTATCATTGTTGACAGTTGGTGCATATGAAGAGGTCTTGCCCACAGTTAGCTGCGACAGGAAGTGTTTCAGGGTCCCGACAGTCTAGCGGTTATCAGGCAGGCCAGGGTCAAAGATAGAATTATCAGCCGGTTCAACCTAGGCAGGCATCTAATGTGGTGCAAGGGGCCACATATGCACAATTAGTGTAACCGACTTACATTTCAAGGGGTGATCAAAGTGAGCAGAGGCCACAAGGATGAGTTTATGCTGTCACTGCTTCTGAGCAATCTTCTGGACCATCAGTGATGAGAGGTATATATCTCATCTATAATACTTAGGCCAATGTATTAATAGATACCAGAGCATCGCATTCATTCATAGCATCTGTATTTGCATCCATATTGGGCTTAAAGATTGAACGACTAGAGTCTTCATTTATAGTAGAGTCAACACTTGGAGGTCATGTTGTCTTGAATTGGGATATCATGGGTGCGTGATTGAAGTTGCTGATCGCCGACTTCCTTTCAATCTTGTGTTATTAGATATGTCGGGTTTTGACGGCATCTTTGATATGGACTGGTTGTCTTCTTATCGTGCCATCATAGATTGCTACCGTGGAAGAGTTATTGTGTGCATAGCGGGTTAGGACTGTTTTTATTTTCTGGGAGATAGGACCCATGGTGGGTTGTTGCCGTTGTATGCCCCGTGAAGTCGAGGTAAACTTAGTTTTCTTCTTGCAACCATTGTGGATTATGAAAATACTGTGGTTCAGGGGGGGTATTTTCTAGATTGGTTTGTGAGTATTCAGATGTTTTTCCTAAGGATCTCACTGAATTGCCACCTCACCACGAGGTTGAGTTTTCTATAGATTTAGTACCTGGCATAGCACCCATCTCCATGTCACCCTATAGATATGCACCGGTAGAGTTGATTGTTTTGAAGGAGCAATTGCAAGAGTTGTTAGACAAGGGTTTTATACACCCTAGTACCTTGCTATGGGAAGCACCAACTCTTTTTGCCAAAAAGAATGGTGGCTCGTTGCGGTTATGCATTGACTACTGCAAGTTGAATAGTCATGGTTAAAAATAAGTATCTGTTGCCTAGGATAGATGATCTTTTCGACCACCTTAAGGGTTGCCAATGTTTCTCAAAGATAGACCTAAGATCGAGTTATCATCAGTTGCATATGAAAGAGGAAAATATTTCAAAGACAACTTTTCATACTCGGTATGGCCACTATGAATTTCTTATCATGCAGTTTGATTTAACCAATGCTCCTGTCACTTTTATGGACTTAATGAATTGAGTCTTCCGAGATTATCTCGACAAATTCATGGTGGTGTTTGCGGATGATATTCTTATCTATTCACCTTCTGAGGAGGAGCATGAAGAGCATCTTCGCATTATCTTGCAGCTGTTTAGGGAACATCGGTTGTATGCTAAGTATGAGAAATGTGAGTTTTGGCTTTCCAAGGTGATGTTTTTGGGTCACGTTGTCTCCGGAGAGGGGGTTACTATAGACTCTTCAGAAATTGAGGCCATGCAGAATTGGGAACGACCTATGAATGCCTTTCAAATTCATAGCTTTTGGGGTTTTGCTGGGTATTATAGGTTGTCGCGGCCTAAACCCGCCCATATAGGTTTAGCGTCGTAACCGGCCAGTAATCTTTAGATTACCAAAGGCCTCTTAACATAATGACATATTGTGGAAGCAAATATAGAAATATACATTGTCCATATAGTTGCGTTAACGTATATGAGACAAAAATCTTTAAAACTTATATATATATATATATATATATATGTGCTGTCATAAATACATTAGTCTTACATCACCAAAGCCACATATACAGAACTTCCAAAACATGTTCAGACAAAACATAAACATCAGAAAGTACAAAAGTCCTAAAGACTCAAAAACTTGATCAAATCTCAAAAGCCCTCTACAGGAGGCATGATGGTTGGTTAACTCCAAAACTCGCCAGAAAACAACTTAGGCCTGGTCACGCGCCTGCTCACCTACATACATAATATAAATGGTGAACGAAAGCCCAGTGAATAATAACAGAGTAAAAGGTTTGATGAATAGCATATTCAGCAATCAGAGTTCATATTAGAAACATATTTATATTCATATTCTTGTTCAAGTCAATGACATAAATCAGAATACACATTTAATCTTACATCTATTAGCGCTAACAGATCACATACGGGGCATTGAAGATCATACTTGTCAGTTCCATAAAGGAACCTCCGGCCAGGTACAGATATCTTGTCAGTTCCATAAAGGAACCTTTGGCTAGGTACAGATAACTTGTCAGTTCCATAAAGGAACCTCCGGACGGGGTACAGATAACTTACTTGAGCCTCGAATACTTATCAGATTTGGACAATCATTCATTATACAGAACATAACATATCATAGAATAGATCTTATTTCATCATACAGAAAATAATTATAGTTGAACATAGCTTTACTAAGTTATTACTCACAGTTGGCTCCAAAGCAAACAGACAGAATAGGCAAATCAGACGTCTTGTGGTGCGTGACCTACACAGTTGTAGAACGAACACATATTGAATTACACACTCGAAATCATTATCTTAATCCTTTCTTATCTTGGTGTGTTTTTACTTCTTGTCCTCATTATTATGTCTTAACCTTGGCTTAGGAATGTCTAGGATGTAATGAGGATGCTAAAATGTACTTGGAAACACTTAACAAAAATTGCTGAAAACAGGGGTCCCGCCCGAGCGCAACTTCTATTGCTCAAGCGGACATGCAAAATAGGAGTGGTCGCTCGAGCGCAAATTCTCCTGCTCGAGCGGTCTGTAAACTTCTGCAAAAGTTTTGGTTGTGTGGTTTTCACGTTCGACAGACGCTCGACGGTTGCTTGAGCGTGAGACTCAGGTCCTCGCTCGAGCGCAACTCTTGTCGCTCGAGTAGTTTACAAAACATGTAAACTTCTGGGAGCATACATTTCACGCTCGAGTCAACTTTAGGTCGCTCGAGCAGAAGTGCACACACTCAGAGTGGTCGCTTGAGCGTAGGTTCCTCCGCTTAAGTGTAGGAGCAAAATTCTGAAATTTCCAGATTTGCTCCTAAGCTCAAAACTCCAATTTTAAATTGAAATTCATGATCCTCTAGGCCAAAAATTGAAGGAAACTAGTGTGAACATGCATAACAACTTGAATTCAAAATTGATTCACAAAATCAAGGCCTAAAGATTAGTCAGTTATACAAAACCATACTTGAAGCTCAAAGAACATAACTTGAAGATAACATGCATGAATTGATATGAACTTAGACTCTCCAAAACATGATCAATTAAGGTCAAATGGTAAGAAATGTGATGAATTCTCAAAACCAAGTCAAGAAGGACACATGCATGTATGACTTGAGTGAAATTCAAACTCAAAATGCTATGATATATGCATGCATGACATGACATGGTTCAATTCTCTTCATTTCCAGTTTAATTCTTGCATTATCCATCATAATTCTCTAGAGTTCATGTTGTACACATCATAATTGTACAATCTAAAGGTTGAATTCTTACCTAAGCTTGTCAATGATGCTCTAGATGATCAATTGTTGGAAGTTCCAAGCCAAATTCTCTAAGTTCTCTAGCAATCTTTTTAATTTGAGCTCAAACTTCTCTTCTCTCTCTCTCTCCCACGTTTGGTTTGTGTGTGGTCTTAAAAATGTGTTAAGATGAAGAAAAGAATGAGTGAAGGCACATATGGGAGCCTTATATAGACTTGGCCAATGGTTTAATTAAATTGTTGATCAACTAATCAATTGGTCATTAAATGATTCTAATTTAATCGTTCCGAACCGAATTTTAATTAAACCTACCATAATTTTCCATAATTTTCATAATTAGATGTCGATAAGGCCTTCAATTTCTAAAACGAAATAGAAATAGAAACAGATATTTCTACGATAAACAGATATAAACACATTAATGCAACACACACATGCAATTAATTCACGATCTCACCTTAATTACTGATTAGGCTTATTTAATTATGAATTAACATTAATCAGAGGTCGAGGTTGTTACATAGGTAGTTTGTGAAAGACTTTTCTACCTTGGCATCACCATTGACTAGACTAACCAGAAAAGGAGTAAAATTTGTTTGGAGTGACTCTTTTGAAAAATCCTTCTTAGAATTAAAGGCTAGATTGACCCCTGCACCAATTTTAATCATTCTAGAGAGAAGATTGCGTTATACCATATATTGTGATACTTCTAGGGAAGGTTTGGGATGTGTTTTGATGCAAGAAGGTAAGGTTGTGGCATATTGTTCACGTCAGTTAAAGACTCATGAGAGAAACTATCCAACTCACGACCTTGAGTTAGTTGCAGTAATTTTAACTCTAAAACTTTAGAGGCACTAGCTCTATAGAGAGAAATTTGAGGTGTTCTTAGATCATAAGATTTGAATCTACATCAGAGAAGATGGATGGAGTTCATGGAAGATTATGATTTTTGAATTGCATTATCATCCTGGAAAGGCCAATATGGTGGCCGACGCCTTGAGCAGGAAGTCCATGAGCACCATTACTAGTCTTGCCACGAAAGAGTGGGAGATGTTGGGTGATCTAGGTGAGTTTGACTTGCACCTTGGCTATTCTCTTGAGCAAGCCACTTTGTTCTCAGTTCTTACACAACCTACACTTGTCACACGAGTTATAGAAGCACAACAGGGCAATTCAGAAGTAGAGGCAATTAGAGAGAAAATCTCACAGGGGAAGGAGGAAAATGGGTTAAGAGTACATTCTGACTAAAGTATCCGGTATATAGACCACCTTTTTCTGCCACAATCTTTTAGAGACAAAGTACTCCGGGAATTTCATCACTCACACCTTGTGATACATCCGGAAGGCACAAAAATGTATCGTGATCTTAGCCATCAATTTTGGTGGAGAGTATGAAGCGAGATGTAGCCTTGTTTGTGTCTAAATACTTAACTTGCCAACAAGTCAAAGCGGAGCACCAAAAACTAGCCATGTTGTTACAACCCTTGTCTATAACCGAATGGAAATGGAAGCACATCATTGTGGACTTTGTTGTGGGTCTCCCTAGAACACAGAAAGGTAATGATGTGGTTTGGGTTATAATGGATCGACTAACTAAGTCGGCTCATTTTCTTCCAATGTGTATGGGCGACACAGTTGATTACCTAGCTGAGCTTTATGTTAGAGAGATTGTTCGGCTTCATGGGGTTCCAATGAGCATTATCTCAGATAGAGACCTTTGCTTTACTACACGGTTGTGGTAGAGTTTACAAAATGTCTTGGGCACTTAATTGACTTTTAGCATTGCTTACCACACTCAAACTGACGGGCAGTCCGAACGCACTATCCAAATTTTGGAAGACATGTTAAGGGCTTGCGTATTAGACTTCAAGGGTTCTTAGGAAAGGCAATTTCCTTTAGCGGAGTTTGCCTACAATAATAGTTTTCAAGCTAGCATTGGGATGGCACCTTTTAAAGCCTTGTATGGGCATTTATGTGGGTCATCGATATGTTGTACCGAGGTGGGGGATCCATCCATGTTTGAACTAGAATTGGTTCGTTAAACCACTGAGAAAATAACTCTCATTTGGAAGAGGTTAATTAGCCAACAAAAGAGTTATGCCAACCGAAGAAGGAGACCTCTATCTTTCGAAGTGAGTGATCATGTGTTTTTGAAGATATCACCTAAAAAGGGTTTGATGAGATTTGGGTGAAGTGGGAAGTTGTCACCTAGGTTCATTGGTCCCTTTGATATCATCGAACGGGTGGGACAAGTAGCCCATCGTCTTGCCTTACCACCATAACTATCTGGAACACACGACGTGTTTCACATTTCTATGCTTCACAAGTATGAACCCAACCAGTCCTACATCTTAGATTGGACGAGTCTAGAGGTAGATGAAAACGCTTCTTATAATGAGTGACCTATGACGATCCTAGACTCCCAAACAAGTTTTAAGAGGTAAGACTATTCCCTTGGTGAAGATATTGTGGTCTGAGAGAAATATTCGGATTTATTTGATAATGTGTAATCTTGTTAGATTATTGTGTTCATCAC